AAAAAATAACTTAATATAGAACTTAATGGAGAAGTTCGAGAAATTTTTTTTTTTGTAATTTAAATAATATTGGGTACTGCGTCAGCTAAACATCACTCTCGGCTTAGTGTCCTGTTGACTAAATGTCTTGACAGTTAACTATCGCATAGCTAAATGCCCTGACAGCGAATTCTGTGTGTCGGCTAAATGTCCTGTCGGCTATTAATGTAATCCAGGTAATGCATCATTGTATGCCGGAAATGAGAGACAAAGTCAGTATGTAACTCTGTAAATCACGTTATCCATAGAATATGTTAACCAGCAAACAAGAATGTAATACTAAATATTAACAACCCTTGTATGGCCATGTAATTGCTCTTTTGAAAGACTCAAGGTTCAACTCTAGATATTGGTGGACGTGGTGCTACACCAATTAACTGACGGTAAAGGGGTGGTGCCCACGTCCCCCGTCGCATGTCTGTGTCGGCTAAATGTCCTGTCGGCTAAGTGTCCTTGTCGGTTAAATGTCCTGTCGGCTAAGTGTCCTTGTCGGCTAAATGTCTTGTCGGCTAACTGTCCGTGTCGACTACATGACCTGTCGGCTAAGTGTCCTTGTCGGCTAAATGTCTGTGTCGTATAAGTGTCCGTGTCGGCTGACTGGTGTCAGTTAAGTGTCCCATCGGTTAAGTGATTGTCGGCTAAGTGTCATGGACCCAGAACAAGGACAGTGGGAACATTTCTTTTTTTTTCCCCGCTGCATATATTTGCATTTTCTTTCTCAGCTCAAATTCTGTGTTAAATTATTTTTCATTTGATCTATAGATATTTCTGTTTAGTGAAACTTGAAAATTAAAAAAAGTATGCCAGTTTTCTTCACTATTATATTTCAACACCATATTTACTTGCGTATTCCTCCCTCCCAGTATTTTAGCACAAGGTTAAGAATACTTTTTAAATATTCATGTAGTTTTCTAAGTTGTCGAGAAATCAAGTTCCTCTAAATTTTAAAACGAACTCTTTCCATATAGTGGTTGTTTTCATCTTCTTAATTGATTTGCTAGTGGATTTTAGGTGCATGGGCTCTGATTGATGAAGCAATAATGCTGAAAATCTTCAAGAAAATGGGGATATCTCATGCTGTTTATAATTCTGAAAAGCATTACACATGGGAAGACAGACTAAATTATGAAGAAGACAATGACAGTGGGGATGATGGCAATGACCTACAGGCTGTAACAGATGACGTGGACTGTAGTTTAAGCAGCACTAAAAGATTTGGGATGTATGGAATGATAGTAGATAACAATAACAGTTGCTGAGATTCAAGATGCAGGAAAGTAGAAATGAAGTTATCTTATTGAGTACTATCGATCAAACAAAGCACCCCACTTGTTAGATATTGATGGTGACACATGTCACACAGCTAATAATGCAAAAAAATTTGCTTCATGTTTTGATAGATACTTAGAAGATTTGTTTGATGACATCTATTTTGATATGAAAAGCTGCAGTAAAAGAGAAAATTTTTTCAAAATCTGTGAATCCCTTGCCATTAAAAAACTTAAGCCCTTGAAGAGACCAGACCATAGGTGGGTGTACATTTTATGTGTTTTAGAAAGAATCAAAGATCTGTGGGATGCTCTTATTGCATTTTATTTTCACTTCTTGGATAAAACTGATAAAGGAGATTATTTTTCTTATGTTGAAACTGTATACAATAAAAGAAATATTTCTGCAGCTCAGAAAAAAATTGTTGAAGGGGTGTATTCGTGCTTGCATTCCCAACAACTCACAAAGGATGCTTTAGCTCGGAAAAAAAGAATACTGAATGGGTTATTTAATATGCAAAACAAAACTTTATTGCATATGGCATTATATTCAGCAGTATTACCAGAGTTCAACACATATATTAAATTACTTGAAACAAAAAAACCAATGCTTCATTTAATACATTCCAGTATTTATAAATTGATGGCAAAATTTTTCTCTTTTTTTTATGAAGCCAGAAAATATAGAGTACAACATCTTATAATGATTTATTAAAGGTTGATGTCACAAATCCAGAATTCCATCTATCTAGCAAAGTAATATTTACTGGTGCAGAAGCTTCCACTCTCCTGAAAAATTATCAAAAAATCATCCAATAGCAAAAGAATTCCAAATTTCTCTGATGAAAGCTTATACTAATACAGCACAGCATATGAAACAGAAATTACCCCCTTAAAAATTCATATCTAATTAGTTTTACAGCATTAGAATCCAGAGCTAAGAGGTAAAACCAGTACAATATTAGCTTTTGAAAAATTATCATCTTTTATGTCCCATATTTTTAGTGATAATGAAAAGTCAAAAGTAGAAGCTGAAATAAGGTTATACCAGAGTGATATTGATATCACCAAAGAAATGCTCTATACATCTGATGAAAGTGGAAATCAAGTCAAGTGTACAATTGATAAATATTGGTCTAAAGTTTTTAATTTAAAAGATGATTTCACAAATGATTATAAGTATCCTACATTGGCTAAATTGGTCAAAACCTGCCTTAGCTGCTTCCATGTCCCATTAGTGGAAAGTGCATTCAACTTAATGGATACACTTGTCACTGACTATAGAACCTCTCTTAAGATTGATTCCCTAGATGCAGTGCAGACTACTAAATATGATTTAATGGCTTCTAAAGAAACCTCGTGTGAAAAATATGGCTCAAAAAATCCAATGACTGATCCAATTCACAAAGATCTCTTACTGAATATGAACAGAAGTTGGAAAACATATCAGGAAGACTTAAAAACATGTATTTCAGATGAGTCACCTATAAAAGTCTGAAAAACCTTCTACATTAGCAGAAAAGCAAACTGCTTCTACCTCTGCATGTGCAGTTGAGGAAATTTCTTCAACTGTAAATGAGGAAAATAAAAGTCAACCTTCCTGCAATTATGAAGTTCACCACAAAAGAAAGACAAGCCCACAAACATCTGAAAATAAAAAAAAGCAGCAGAAATTAGATAATTTTTTTTTAAAGAATTAATTCAGGTAATTTAAAATATTTACATAAAATGTAGTAGTTTATATGTTTGAAAATTTATGGTAATTAATTTTGCAAAAAAAAGTAATTCATTGAACTTTTATAATTAGGTCATTCAATTCTTCATAATTGTAATTTTTTATTTCTCTCCCCCCCCCCCTTCTCAAAACTCCAAAATGTCGGTAGTAAGTCCGTAAAAGTTTCAGGGGATTTTTTGGGGTCCCACAAACACCCCTGTATTACTATGCATTTGTATTGGAATGTAGGTTTCATTTAAGTAAATAGTATCGCGAAAGTTATCCATAGCTTATCTAAACACTTTTCTTTCATGATATTCTTATGTAATCATATCCATTTGAAATGAAATTATTTGCATAATTTTTCCCTTTTGATTTTCATACCGTAAAATTAATTTAAAAAAGGAAGGGAAAATATACTAGTAAATATGGTATACAGTCAAAAGTCGTTAATTCCGACACCCATAATCCGGACCTCAAAGCTACAAACTTTCTGCGCATGCGTAGCATTGACACATGCGCGTAAGACCTTTACGGCTGCGAATATGCGTGTGCACATGCGCAAAATATGTTTACGAATGCGCGTTTAATGTATAACGGACGGTATAAGCTAAGCTAAAATTATATAATTCAGTTAATGTTGCAGATTGCGTTGTTCCTTAATCTTCGAATTGGATCCGGCTTATTATTTTTTGCTGAATGTTAGAACAATTTTATAAAAAAAAAAAGCTTGAACTTTCGATTATGTCAAATAGAATTTCTGATATATATTTACTAATATGTAAAGGATCTACAGAGCGAAAGTATGTTTCGAAGTCCATTAAACAAAAAGTGGAATTGCTACAAAAAATGGATAAAGGATAATGGATTTGTTTATCTAACCATTCCGAAATCTGTTTATCAATTTCACGCTGCTCTGCGTGTGTGGGGGGGGGGACGTCGCGGCACGCAATGAACTGGAAGTTGATCTGTGAGCACTATCCTTATTTTCAGGGCAGGTGTTTTTATTTTATTTGGCTTATAATTCCTTACTAAATGTAGTATTTCATCTCGATGTACTCCGTCTTTGATATGATTTAAATCAAATTCCTCGTCATTATAATTCGCTTCCGATAGCGAAGAAAGTGACACAGAAGTGACTTTCTTCGAAAACGGAAGAATTTCGATTGACAAATTAGTCGGTATTCTCGACACAGCAATTATAGGACTTGAACAGCGGAACTTTGTAACTGAAGAAGAAATAATGACTGTTTATAGAATTAAAGAGAAAGTATTATCACATAAAAAACAAAGCAACTTAAACAACTTACATTGAAAGAAATGTTTAATAAAGTAAACAAATAAATATTAAGCTTTTTTTTTTTTTTTTTTTTGTAAATTTTGATACGCTTTAGATCATAATTGTTCTTTATTTCATAAATTATGGTTTCATATTTTTAATTTTATAATTTCTGCATCGCATCTTACCAGATTTAAACTGATGATCTATATTCCGGAAAAATCGATAATCCGGAATCGCCGAAGTTCCGACGAGTCCGGATTAACGACTTTTGACTGTATTTGTTTTATTCTGTACGACTGGAAAATCATACATTTTCAAGCATATTATAAAATTAAATTCCAAATTATGAAGATAAGAAAAGTTTTAGTTGAATGAAAAATGTTAAGTGACAATTTAAGTTGATTAAATAATTTATAAATTTCACATAAGGTACCATATGATGAACATCACGTGAAGTATATATCACGATTTAAAATTTAAAAAGAAAACCGACAGATCAAATGTCATTCATATATTAGAACTTTTAAGTTTGACTTTTTTATTGTTTGTAATTTATAATGTGCAGATGAATATAAATTAGTAAATTAAATAAGCTGGTTATTATTAAAATATTAACAGTATTTTTGTAATAAAATAATATAACATTAAATTATGATGTAAAAACTGTTATGTGCTTTCTTTACTGTTTATTTTGTAGACAAAACCTAATTTGCCATTCAACTAAAGATGATGTTATGTGTATTGCAGCAAAAGAGCTCCTTAATGCTGAAGATGTAGAGTTCAGTGAAGAACAAAATTATTTTTCGGGTATAACTATTAAAATATTGGATGATGTTATGTGTATGGCAGCAAATATTTAAGTGCAGAATCGCCCACTGCTTGGCACGTTTTTCAAAATCGCCAACTTGGCGCGCTCTCGCATCTTGTCTCCTGGATTTCCAACCCCTCCAGAAGAACAAGGCGCGACATTTATAATGGCGAACAGTTAAAATATAATCATCATTCATCAAACAATATTTTTACCTGGTCTCCAAAACACTGGCATTCTATACAAACAAAAAGTCCTAAACAGTAATTATGCGGCCTAAAAATGAAGCTTGGCTACACATTCAATAACGTCCATAATCAATGGTTGAGAAAAACACCTGAAATTTTAAATCAAGTTCTTGAAAGCACTTAAAATCCGGCCTAACTCCGTTTGCACAAGGAATCGCCGCTCACGTATTTTAAATGCCATCCTTCATTGAAGAACATGGATGCCGCCCACGGCAGTCACTCACATGGTAGAAATCTCTGGAACCAAGGAACTTTATTTCTGGAACAGCCATCCCGCAAACCGGAACCAACCAAGGAACTTTATTCTGGAACAGCCATCCCGCAAACCGGAACCAAGGCACTTTATTCACTGGACTGCATGCATCCTTCTGAAGGGGCTGGAAACCGCTCACTCAAGTGCCAGGAAAGCAGGAACTAGAAGGGTTGAGCCAGAGCGACGCAAGATACTTATAGCAGAAGTAAGAATGACGTCATCTGACGGCAACCAATCAGCTATCGGCACGAATCGGCTTTTCAGATGACGTAACATCACGTTTCGTTTTTGCATCTTAATTAGATTGAAACAGTCCGTTCTCAATGCAAACAGTGGCAGCAAGAAAAAGAAGTAGAAGTAACTACTATATTACATTAAAATAAGGACTAAACTAAATAAACATTTCAAGGAGGAGAGATGATGCAGTAAAAGGTTTAAAAATAAGCTATGTTTTCCAACACAAAAACATAATTTTAAAAACTCAAAATAAAAATACGTTCACTTACCTAAAAAGGGTTAATCCACTCCGCTCAGCCAAAAAACGAAAAGTAACGAATTCTCGAATTATTTTTTTAAATAACTGCACCTCTACCATGTATTATCGTCTACACCAATCAGAAATTCTAAATTTTAAAATACATACTGAGAACGTGCGAAAATGCTGTGAATTTCGCGCTCAAAAGAAATTTTCAATTTAAAATACGTACTGGGCATGCGCGAAAATGCTCTAAAATTCGCCTTCCAGAATGGCAAAATTGACTTAAATACCATTTGGCGCATTTATCAATCTTGTAAAAAGCACCAAACACAACGCGCCAAATAAGTGGGCGATTCTGCTCTTTAGCCAAAATATTCTACCTAAAATCCTTTCTTTTGACTCTTTTTATAATTACAAAAATTTTTTTATCAGTTTTGTCTATAATTGCCACTTTTGTCTTTAAGTATGACTGTGTTATGACTTTAAGTATGACTGTGTTTTTAATTTAGTATATATCCAGTGTCTGTTAGTTAAAATATATTTTGTAATTAATTTTATACTAGTGCAGAATTTGTTTCAGTTACACTCATGTCCTTAAATTAAGGATAATTCAAAGTAATGCGAAAACCAAACTCTAAAATAAATATATCACCTGTAAAATCACTACACACATCTTCAAGAATCATATGCAAATTTCAGGAAGTAACCAAATGACACCGATGGTACGTCACAATAACGAGAGTGTAAGAGAGTGATATATAAGGAATACAGGCAAAGAAGTAAAATTGTTCGCAGGCACTTTATAAGCATTTCAGTGCAATAAATAGTTATGACACAAAGGACGCATTTGGATGATTTTTTACGTGGTAGAATTATCGGCTGTCTGGAATGTGGGCGTACCCAATCGGCAGTATCAGACGAACTTGGAATTGCCCAGAGTGTCATCTCCAGACTTTGGTAACGATTCCAAGATGATGGGTAATGTGAGTAGACGTTACAGCACAGGTCGCCCTAGAGTTACAACGCCGAATGAGGACCGGTATTTGGCAGTTACTGCCAAAAGAAACAGGTGAAGCACAGCCTCAGACCTGTCTCATCAGCTCTCTTCAGCCACTGGTACGGCAATTTCAAGGCAGACCGTGTACAGACGCTTAGGGCAGATTGGTCTATATGCTTGTAGACCTGTCAGATGCGTTCCACTTACTGCAACTCACTGTCGCCTGCGGTCAGCCTGGAGTAGAGAGCATGCATTGTGGACACCGCAACAGTGGGCTTGTGTGATGTTTTCCGACGAGTGCAGGTTTAGCTTGCAGTCTGATTCTCGCCGGACTTTCATATGGAGAGCTCCAGGTACCCATTACCACCAAGAAAACATCACTGAACGACACCATTATGGTGGTGCAGGAGTGCTCGTTTGGCGTGGAATTATTCTGGGTTCCAAAACTAACCTGCATGTTCAAACTGGAACCATGACAAGCCAAATCTATCAGGGACATCATTCTGGAACAACATGTACGTTTGTTTCGGGGCGCCATTTGAACACAATTTGTGTTTATGGATGACAATGCCCGTCCTCACCATGCAAACATTGTAAGCGAATGCCTTCAATCGGAGGATATCACCCGTATGGACTGGACAGCATTCTCACCAGACTTGAATCCAGTAGAGCACGTGTGGGACATGCTTGGCCGACAAGTTGCAGCCCGTCAACCTTCTCCTACATGTGTACCATAACTTCGGAGAGCATTGCTTTTTGAATGGTGTAATATCCCCTAAGATCAGATCGATAATTTGATACTCAGCATGCCTAGGCGTTGTACAGACTGTATTGCATCGTCTGGGAGACATACAATGTATTAACAATCATACCAACCATGTAATATTGGTTTTTTGTAAATAGTTTTTTTTTTTTTTTTTTTAATTTGCTCCAGGGAGAAAAATCACTAATTTTTTAATAATATCAAACATATAGCATCTTTTTTTGCTCTTTACCTCTTGTTTAATAAATAAGCTTTACAAATAAGTCCAATTTGTTTTGCTTCTAACTCTTCCTTTACCTGATTTTGCATTATCCTTAATTTATGGACATGAGTGTATATTCAGTATTACTGTAAGTTATATCTATCATTATTTAGATTTTTCAAATTAAGTAATATTTTTGTAAAACTGTAAACTATTAAATAAATATTTTTCCTGCATATGCACAAAAAAGGAATTTAAAATTGTATATTTCTGTCCATAAAAGTCTTTCTATGGCCTTTAGTTTTCAACCCTTTTTTTTTTTTTTGTCATAGACATATACTCAGGGTTGCCATGCTACTTGAAAAAACCTGAAGACTGGGAAAAGTCCAGGAATTTAAATATTTTAATCAGAATCTGGAAAAGTCAGGTATTTTCATGCGGCGATCCCCCAGAAAAGCGATATTTCATGCCAATTTTGGAAGCGATCACTGTTTTGGCAAACTGTGTATCACATGAGCATCATAAGCGCAGCTGGCGTGGAGCCAATTTTCGCAGCGCCAATCAGATTGTGTTACAGAAAGGCAAAGCAAGTTTCCAGCACCTTTTTTTCCATAAATCCCTTGAATATGTTGCGAGCAGCTGACATAGAGGCAATTTTCGATGTGCCAATCAGATAGTCTTTCAAAAAAGCAAAGCAATTTTCGAGTAACCTCCGGAATATGTTACAGCATGAGGATCATCTGCTCATGGTGCATATCATCAAGCACTCAAAGGCAAAAAACAGTGTGATAGTAAACATATATATATATATATATATATATCTGGACAAAAAGGAAAGCACAAGCAAATATAAAAATTTTGGAGTCAAAAAAAAAAAAAAAAAAAAATTGAGCAGAGGTGTTTCTTCAATTGACTTACAAATTGCGAGCTTAAAATAAGAAATGATTTTTCATTAGTATTTTTTCTATTAATAGTCTTTGTGTGTGTTGCGTCTTGATTTCTAATAAAAAATTATATTTAATTTTTATTATAGGTGCTTATATTAAAAGTTTGTCATGTATGTTGACTGCTTTAAAAAATGTTTATATATATATATAAATTTTAACAAACATGTAAAAAAGCAAAATTAAAGTTAAAATAATTTTAAAAGTGTGCAAACAAATAAAAGATTTAATTTTAATTTGCGAACTAATCTACAATGTCATTTAAATTCAATTAGCAAACCAAACCATGACAAAAATTCACCAATTTAGCAAATTAAAATTAATCTAAATATTTTTTTAAATGCATAAGTGAGTGTCTGTTGAGCAGGCAGGAGACAGACTTATCAAGGGGAAGTTGCCTCCAAACCTAACTCTTCAATCATTCAATTCGTGTTTCGTCATTCATGCAGGCAAGGGTAAAAGTCAAAATCAAAAATAAATACATAGTGAAGAAAGTCCAAAAAGAAATACCAATAAAGTGGTACCTTGAGAAATTAGCAATTAAAAATTAAAGGAAAATACCAATAATGAAGTATTTTGAGAAATAAGCAATATAAAGTCTTGTATTAAATTAAATTTTTTTTTAAATTAAATTTTCAGAAAAATTAATTTAGAAACCAATGCATTTTAGAAACCCTTGTCTACAGAAACCTCCCCGACAAGAATATGCATATCAAACAAAAAGGAACTAGACATAATTTATATATACCAAAAGAAACTAAAAAGAACTAATTCATAATTTATAAAAAAACAAATATATACTTAAAAATATGATTATATATCTAGAAAATACTTAAATACTACATAAAAAATACTTAAAAGCAAGTAAATAGTAAGTTTTAATTCTAACTTACCTACCATATTAGCGTTGGGGTCTGCAAAAGTATTTCTTAAGTGATGTAAGTGTGTTCTGCAAATTATATAGATGGCGCTAATGTAAGTAAAGTTGAGTGCCAAGCTGCTATTTTTGTTTTATTAAAAATTTTGTAAAGTTTAATATTAAAATATATAAATCTAGAAATAATCAAAGAATATCCTAAAAGTATGTAATTCAAGTTCTAAATAGTAATTATAG